GCGTTCATGAGTTGGTTCAGTTTGGTCGTAGGCTATTTGGCCAACCAAATTGACTTAGTCAGGTTGGTGAGTTGGTCAGCTGAAACCGACTGACCTTTTGTAAAAACTGACCCACTCAAGTTGTATTGGTTTGGGTCGGTTTTTTGGTTTGGTCAGTCAGTTCAAAAGATTTAAACTTAAAAATTAAATTTAATTTTAAAAATTACAGTGCAATTATTAAAAAATAAATTTAAAAATTAGATTTTTGATATAAAACATTTTATACTAAGAAATATGGGAAATTTTCCACTTTTCCATATTAAAAATTATATTTAAAAAATAAAATATTAATAAATATCCATTGTTAGGTCGTTTGATTTTGGTCGGTTTACAAATGGCCAAAGTGAAATTGATCCAACTTGGTCAAATTGGGAAATTTTTTAACCAAAGCCGACCTAAAATACTAGAAAACCAACCAACTCGGGTTGAGTTGATCGGATTGGTTAGTTTCATCAGTTTGATGAATAAACCTAACTGAAATTAATTATCGTTATTTTTGTATTATGAAAAATTTATTAAAAGTAGTATATAAAATATGAATAATTATTAATTATTTAAAAAGTTGAAAATATAAAACAATTGTATACTCTTATGTGTTTCTATTAGGGTCATTTACTAGAACACACCTTATAGTTTTACATATTTACTTAAACCATCTTATAGTTTTCATTTTACTAAAACATCCCATATATTTTATAACTTATTACGCCTCAGGCGTACGTCAGTGCCTCTGGCACATGCCTCAGGGCGTTTTTTGAGCGCTTCGCCGGGAGGCGCGCTTCCAGGCGCACGCCTCCCACACCTTTTAAACTGACTGATCACATTAACCGCATATTAGATATCTGATCGTGTCATGCAAAGTTATAACAACTTCCCTAAAAGTCTCTGGAACACTCCCCTGTCTGCCAAAAGTTCACCACAATCGGTTGAGAGTTTATGGCTAGCATCAATAGGTGTAGAAACAGGTTTGGCACCAAGTTTCCTAGTTTTCGTGAGAAGATCTAGCACATACTTCCGTTGGGAGATGAAGATGCCATCTTTAGACCTAGCAACTTTGATGCCTTGGAAATATCTCAATTTCTCTAAATCCTTAATTTCAAATTCTGAGTTAAAGGAATTTCTTGAGTGCTTGAACTTCCTCTGTAATCACTCCCTATAATGACAATATCATCAACATAAACAATGAGGAAGGTAACCTGAGTGCCTGTTCTCTTCACAAACAAGGTATGGTTGGACTGTATTTGTGTATAGCCAAATTCAACAAGTACAACTCTGGATCTATCAAACCAAGCTCATGGGGATTGCTTGAGGCGATAAGGAGATTTCTTCAACTTGCATTACCTTGCCCTGCATTTCCTTACCATACATACCTCTTTAGTCAAGTCTCCATTTAAAAAAGCATTCTTCGCATCAAATTGATATAAGGGCCAGTCATGACTCACTTCCAAGGATAATAGAACTCTAACAATGGTCATTTTTGCAACTTGTGAGAAAGTCTCCATATAATCAACTCCATATACCTGAGTATAACCCTTGGCTACTAGCTGAGACATATACCTCTCAATGCCTCAAAGGTGCCATCAGCATGATACTTGATAGCTGAGACTTAACACATTCTCCATTACTTTTTGTGTTGGTGGTGGAAATGTTGAGTAGCTTATTAAACAAATGTGTGGAGGCAAGTTTGTTTAGGGGCTTTGAGGTGGGGAGAGAGAGGCTGACTATTTCTCATTTACAATATGCTGATGATACTTTGAGCTTTGTGGATGCATCAGCAGAGCAAGTGTTATGATTGGGGTAGGAAATGTGCAGTAGGAAACTACTGAAGAATGTGCAGCTTCATTGGGCTATTTGATAGGTGAATTCCCTTTCACATGTTTGGGATTACCTATTGGCGCAAAAACTTCACTATCTACATGGTAGCCAGTTTTGGATAGAATTGAGCAAGGGCTAGCAGGGTCTAAGGGAAAATGTGTCATTTAGGGGGAAGATTATCATCATTAAAAGTGTCGTTTCAAATCTTCCAATTTTTCATTTGTCATTGTTAAAATTCTGTCGGGGTGAGTCAAGAAGTTGAAAGGTTTCGGAGGGAGTTTTTATGGAATGTTAAAAGTGGCTCAAAAAAAGTTTCATTTGGTGTGATGAGAGTGTGTGTAGGGCAAAGAAGGATGGTGATTTGGGGATTAGAAGGGTGAGGACTTTCAATCAATCTCTTTTGGGGAAATGGGTTTGGAGGTTTGGGTGGGAAAAGGAGGCTTTGTGGAGGAGGGTTATAGCTTGTAAGTATGGAGTAGTGAGTCTTGGGTGAGACCCGAGGGAGGTTAGCTCTTCTTATGGGGTGAGTGTGGAAAGGAATTATGAAATTTCAATCAGCTGTAAATTCTCGTTTATCTTGGAAAGTGGGGGATGGCTATAGCATCAGAATTTGGGAGGATGTGTGGTCAAGTGTGGGGAAGTTGTGTGATGTCTATCCAAGACTGTATAGGCTCAACAGGTCTAATGTTACAATTGCTCAATGTCTTGAATGGATATGGGGAGGTGTGCTGGTACCCCAACTTCAAAAGGCCTTTGCTTGATAGAGAAATTGAAGAGTGTTTGGTGTTGTTATTTAGGCTGCAGGATGTGGTGATTCATCTAGAGCCTCGGATGCTAGATGGTGGAAGGGAAATAGAAGTAGAAAATTTTCTGGAAAATCCTTCTATAAAAAATTCTGACTCAAAATCAGATAGAGGCATCATGTGGGAAGAGTGTGGGGCAATTCAATTTTCTTAAAGTGGAGGCTTTTGCTTGGCTGGTTGTGAGAGACAAGTTCTTAGGATCATTGGAAGAAAAGAGACTTAATCTTTGCATTTTTTGCAAACAGATGTGTCTCATGTGAAAGTGCTGAGAATGTTATGCATTTGATGGTTGACTGCATATACATAACATGTATTTAGTACTTTTTCTTTCATCTCTTCAAGATGGGGGGATGGGATCTCGATTACCCAAAGAAATTTTTGAGAAGTGGCCAAAGGTGAATTGTAGCAAGAAAGCAAAGAAACATGTGGAGCTGTATTCCTATTGTGGTTTGTTGAGAGGTGTTGAAAGAACGAAATAGAAGAATCTTTATGAACAAGAAGAGCATTGGAAGACTTTGTGCTGTCATTGGTTGGAGATTGCTTGATCCTTTGTTGATTGTTTTGGAGTCTGAGGGTCTCAAGAAGGAAAAATTTGGAGCTAATTTTTTGGTCTTCCTTGAACGTGTCTTAGTTGGATTGAAAGCATATGTATTTGATGGCTGTTCGTTTCATTTGTTTCTATCTTTTGATTTGTATTTTGGGCAGTGTTTTAAAAGCGCAAGGTGCAAAAAAGGCACAGGGGTCAGTTTGCACCTAAGGCGCAAGGCGATGTGTGCGCCTTTTTACGCAAGGCGTAAAAATTAAAAAAAGGCTAAAAAATAAAAAAAAGCCAAAAAATTCAAAAAATGCAAAAATGCAAAAAATTATTAAACATAATAGTAATAAAAATGTAAACTTTAATTTAAAAAATGTTTTAAAAAACCTATTATCTGATATTAAAATAAATAAATATAACATGTAAAGCATATTCAAATGAGAATTTAAAAATAAAATCAAATATATAAAACATTTTCAAGCATGTAAATCTCACAATCTCTTTTTTTCTCAATTGCATTACTTCAAGTAGCTAATGTGATGTAAAACATATTAGATTCCTGATTCTATGAGCGGCCTTTGTACCACACCTCTCGAGGCAAGCCCAAACAAGTCCACATTAGGTCTTAAATTCTTAGTTCTCACACAAAAAATAATGTTTGTATAGTTTTTATTGCTTTTTAAGAAGACATTTTGTTATGATGAATGAATGAACAACAGTTCCAAATAGGGGGTTCTCAAAGCTCGAGTTGCCAAAAGGGGCGTGGCATGGGGTCGGGGGCGGAGCCCCTGGCCCAGTCACTAGACACATAAAAGCAAAAAAGTGTCAAAGTTTCAAAAGGAACACACCTTTTGAAAGGGTTGTGCCGAGGACTTGGGAGAGGCGCCTACCCTGAAATGCGCCTAGGCGTGCCTTTTAAATAATTGATTTTGGGTGATGCCTCATCACCTATCACTTTGTACATTTCTTTATTTAATGAATTTTCTTCTTTATTTATCTTCAAAAAAATAACCAAGCTTGTCCTATGGGGTTGGTTACATGAATCCTGTTCCATCACTGAATTTTATTATTGGGATAACAAGGGTCACCATCCCTAGATTCTAGTAATTTTGAAGAGGAGAAATTTCAGATCATCCCAAAACTGGTGAAATCCAAGAATATGCAATCTCTCTTGTTTGACATTCTAAAATCCACACAGATTACATCCAAATTGTATTTCCCATTCCTCATTACTAACCACTTGGCACCAATGATGCTTCTCCAATTGATTCATGAGCCGGAAGTTAAACAACATTTGAGAGGAACTAAAGTTTGCTTGCTAATTAAAATAATATCATACTAGTTTTAAGTATGATGACTTTACAAAAGATGTCGGCACATTTGACACTATACCTCAATGGACATAAATAGCACATAATGCTGGAAATTAATATCCAAAGTTTTGTAACTTTTACATTTTGGCAAAGTTAAAGCTTCTCAACTTCTTTCTAGTTGAATAATAGTTGGAAGCTGGTAGAACTAATAGTTTTTCTTTAGCAGGAGCTGCATCTGAAGATTGCAGCTAACTTTTGTCCAATTTAGAAACTTGATTTAATGGAGTTGCAATTTAATACCATACAACCTCACAAATATTTTGTGCAATACTCATTTTTTCTTTCCTATGCAATATTATTAGGCAACTGTGCACGCCATGTTTAAGACCTCAATTCCTTCTCTGACAATCAAAATTCTCTTTGTGAAGTGCATTTATTGCAATTGGTATATGTAACTTATTCCACAATAAATTTTGTGGGCTGCTATTTGAGCAGAATGAAGTATCTGATAATACTGAGGGATTGTCAAAAGAAGAGTTGGGACGTCGTGTTGCTTCTCGTTGGACAGGAGAAAATACCGCATCAAAAACCAAGGAATATAATGCTGCAGAAGGGGAAGGCCATAAAATTGCTGAAGAGGCCCCAGAGAGCAAACGCGATGAAGTCTATGGACATTATGCTTCAGAAAATGATGAGGATGACCCAATATATGATGATGAAGACATTGAAGATGGAGATATCAATGATGAGTTGAATGAAGAGTATCATGATGATTCTAGCACTTCCTACAAACCTAAATCCGAAGACCAAACAGATTTTTCAGGTATGTGACTACTTGTTAAGTACAAGCATGTATTTCCTTTTGCAATTTACTGTTGTTTTTAATTGCCTAAATGCTTCTATTTTTCTTGTACTGCTTTGTTCCATATTTAGATATTAAAACAAGTCGGCCATCTTGGTTGGAGAAGATGCAACAAAAAGTTTTTAAACTTTTACAGAAGCTTAATCTGTTCCAGACTCCAGTGGATAAATCAGGTAGAAAATCAAAACCTTAAAATTTGCAATTCTTGGATGGAAAACAGATTATTAGAAAACAATTCATTTTTTTTTTCCATTGTGCTTCTTTAGAAGCTGCTCGTATTCGAAAGGAATATGATGACTCCAATTCAAAGTTGACTAAAGTACAGTCAAGAATATCAACTCTGACTGAAAAGCTAAAACATGATTTTGGTATGTTCAGTAATTGGATTCCCAGACTTTATATTCCAGTATCATTTCTCAGAGAAGTTGTTCATAAATTTGTTACTTATGATTCATTATTTTCTTTAAATTTCAGGTCAGCATAAGGAATTTTATTCATTTTATGACCATTGCTTTGAGAACAAGCAGAACAAGTACAGAAACTTCCTCTTCCTTTTTCAATTTTTTGATAAATTTCCCCTTCTTTTTTCATTCTTTAATGGAAAACTTTACTACTGTCACTCTTCTTTATTGGTTCTCATTTACACTTGTACTACATACTTGAACTTTTTTTTTCATTTTCCTTTCTTTGGAAATGTACATCCTTTCTTTCAGGTACGTCTACAAGATCTGCCCATTTAAAAAAGCTTCCCAGGTGGAAGGTCATAGTACCACCCAATTAGGGTATGTACCTCTGATTTTCATTTTTTCCTAATTGTTATAGTAAAATTGCACCTGACAGATGATTCCTCTAAGGTACTTTCTTTATTGGGGAAGCCTATGGCTGTATTTGGTGAGACAATGTGGCAATATTTAAAGGCATATACATAAAAATTTTTATAGGGTTGTGATGTATTTCCACCCTGGCAATCCTAGAATAGAACTTAAACTAGGTAGCTTTACTTTCTGACAAGTTATTTATTGTGGACTGTTTCTATATTTTTTTATGTGCACTCTTATGAATGCACTGCATCAGATACACATGTCAACACTGAAATGTTTACTGACAAAACCCCAAACCACCTTGTTTATGTACTGGAACAGTGAAATGCCAACACTGAAATGTTTACTGCTATGAATGATACACATGCAAGTAGTGGCTCAGCTGGAGGGCTTTAGAAGCTGGACCTATGCACTACTGAAGAATGGACTTGAATGCATTAGATATTCCAAAACCATTTACTGGTCTTTCTGAACAGCAATCTCACTTGATAATTGGTTGCAACAAACATGGCCGGCTGCTAACATCATCATTGCAAAATATTGATGTCAGTTTTCAAGGCGCGAAGGCGAGGCTAGGCGACAAGGGGGGTGCCTTGTCGCCATGGTTTAAAGTATCAATACGATTCACGCCGTATCGGGCGTATCGTATCGTATCTTTTGAAAACGATACGCTCCGAAACACCTCCAGGTGTTTCGGAACCCCAACTTTTTTTAATAAAAAAAGCCTGTTTTTAGCTTCCCAAAAAACCAAAATTTGAAAAAAAAACTAAAAAAAAAAGTTTCGGGCGTTTCTAAGTACCAATACGATACTACCGATATGCACATCATATCAATACTTTGAACCTTGCTTGTTGCCTAGTCGCCTAGGCAGGTGTCTAGGAAATGAATTTTTTTAAGTAAAAAGCATATATCCTAGGGTAGTTCCCTAGGTTCCATAGCCATATTTCCTTAATAATAATAGCTCATCAAGAAAAAAAATATTTCCTTAATAATTATCCATTTTTTTCATAAGAAAAGTATAAACTTCATGTTAAAGTATAGAAAATCAACATATTCATGAGAAGAAAAAGAAGAAAGAAAAGAAAATTCAAAAAATATATAGGGGCTGAGCCCCTATTTTTGTTACATAGAAAAGAATAAAAGAAAACGTGTTGAGACAAAATTTTAACTTATTACTGCTTCAGGTTTTGAAGTCTTTGAGGGTTCAATATAGCTGTTAGTAATGTCTATGTTGATTAAACCTTAACAAATAAGAAAATAATAAAGAGTAATTAGTATATAAACACACAAAATGAATGTTTTAGTTTAATAATATCTATTTTATAATTATAAACTCAAAAATATTAAAAATATAAAAGTATTTTATGACACAATATACAAAACTGCTTGGTGATTAGGTGAGGCGATCTTCACCTTGATGACTCGACATCGCCTTGATTACTATGAGTAGGATGTATGGTGGTCTGTACTCACTATAAAGGCCATTCCCCAATCTTGATTCGAGCTATATGGGGTCTTGGAAGGGGTAAACTGAGTATGATCCTAAGCTTTAGCATTTTCTTTTCATACAAAGTGGCTCTTCTCAGATTTGGACATGCATTCTCACACTTGCCAGCCTGAGATTTTACCATTAACCAAGTAATTTCACTTCAGCTATACTCACAGATAACACAAGAATATAACAAGTACCTAATAGAGCACATTTATGTTAAATTAGCAACTAAAGAATGTTAAAACTTTAATAGAAGAATTCTTTTCATTATTATAAGTCAATACTGTTATTCATAAAAAAAGTACTTTATACTAAGAAAAATTAAGATGAAGATTAGCATAGTGAGAACAAAAAGACAAGGGGAGGAGCCCTTATTCTATTTAATGTAAAAAGGAGAGTGCAGTTGTAGGAAAAAATAAACATCTTTTATCCTGCGCTTATTTCTTTCTATTTCCATTCTCAAATTTTTGGGTTTTTATATTCCAATAGTAAAACTTTAAAACAAAGCATAGGTAAGCACTAGAGAGACGGGGGGAGTGCGTGATAAAATTTATCTAAAACACATACTAAATGATGCTACCTGTTATCAGACCTGCAAGAGAATGAGAGAAGTTTGGAGAAGAAGAGAAGAGAAAGAACTGAATGGGCTGCCACAATAGAAAGTCTCAGCTGGTCCTAGATCTTTTATTAAGATTGTAAACATAATGGTACAATAAAGTACAAAAGTACCCCTGATTAGTAACACCCATAACTAAATACTTAGAAACACTATTGGACCCAATAACTAAAGTCCACAAACAGCACTAAGACTACTTGTCTAGTAGAGACTGTGATCAGTCCTACTCTAGATGAGAATTCAACAAGAACAAAAGAGAATAGAAGAGGAACAAGAGAGAGAGAGGTAAAGAGAGGAAGAAAGGAGAAAGAAGTCGAAGAGAGAATTTAGAAAAGGAGTGTGGGTAATAGCATACATTGCCACCCCACTCAGCTATTTATATTAAAGATTTAAAAGATAACTAACTTACAATAATGCCCTTACTAACATAACTTATCAGGAACTAAAGAAAGAAACTGAAATAACTAACATACTGACACTACTAACATGCTAACAACAACATAAAAAAAACATTATTTCCCTCCAACTCTACAAGACTTAATGATAGATATGTGACAGGCCCATAGGCCTCCATGTGAGAATCAGCCATTATAACATTCCCCTTCAAGCCGAGCATAGATATCAGTCATGCCCAGCTTGCCTAGAAGATCATGAAACTCCACAAACCCAAGTCCCTCGGTGAGAACATCTGCAAGCTGTAGTTTTGAAGGTATGTAGAGAATGCATAGTTCTTTGGAAATAATTCTCTCCTGCAAAAAGTGTCTACCATCTCTCAACCTCTATATGTTTAGTTCTGTCATATTGCACTGGATTGTTGGCAATGTTAATGGCAGCATTGTTATCACAATACAAGCTGAGAGGACTATCAATCTTTATGCCAATGAGTCATAGCTCCATACTTAGCCTGCACTTGATCTAGCAATAACATTCTGGTTTTTACTTCTCCATGTGACTTGATTACCACCAACAAATGTAAGTACCCTGATGTCCACTTCCTGTCCCCTATGGAACCTGCCCAGTCAGCATCAGTAAAGTTTTCAACTTCAAGTTTGCTTGTTGAATAATAGACCTTTCCATAGACAATTCTTCAAGTATCTGAGAATCCATTCAGCTGCCTTCATATGAGGGACCTTAGGAGCATGCATAACAACATGGACAACATAAGCAATGATTGGTTGAGTAAATCAACTTACCAAGTCTTTGATATCTTTCCTTGTCAGGATAAACCTCATCTTTTGATTCTTGAAAGCTATGATTCTATTCTAGGGGAGTATCAACTGGTCTACTCCCCATCATTTCTGTCCCTAACAAGTCAAAAGCATACTTTCTTGACAAATGTATATGCCTTGCTTTGATCTAGACACTTGAATCCCAAGAAAGTATTTCAGCAGTTCCAAATCCTTGATTTCAAACTCTGATGCTATAATCATTCCCAATTACCACCGTATCATCTACATATACAATAAGAGCTGTGTGATTTACACCATATCATCTACATATACATGTGCCTCACCAGATATATCTGGGAAAGTGCCAAAGTCAGGAAGATCAAGAGGAGAGTATGAAAGATTGGGAATATGCAAGCACACGATAGGGGGAGGAGAAGAAATCTCTTCCACCCGACTAGTCTCCCCTTGAAGAGGATTCTTGGATGGTTCAAAGAAGGATTGAGACTCGAGGAAAAACCGAAAACCACATCTTTAGTAACAAAATTTCATTTCGGATCCAACTTGGTTCTCTTAGGATCCTTTACATGAATGAAGCAAACACAACCAAAGACTCTAGGAGGTGAAGGGAAATCTTCTTCATTTGGAGAATACGGAGAAAGGAGTTTTCATGTCAAACACCTTGGATGGCATCTTGTTTATCAGATATGAAGCAGTAAGAACATCTTGGGACCAATAGCTTTTGGGTACCTTATGTTGAAATAGAAGAGTCTGAATTGTTTCAAGTGTCCGTTCTTCCTCTCCGTGACATTGTTTTATTGAGGGGTGTGTGCACAAGAGCACTGATGCAATCACCTTCATATTCAAAAAATATATCCAAAGATTTTTCAAAATATTCTACTACATTGTTAGATCAAAATTGCTTAATTTTATTGCCAAATTGTGTTTCCACCATTTTGTAAAATACTATTGCAATCCATTGTACTTCTTCTCGACTTTTCGTCAAGTAAATCCAAATATGTCTTGAAAGGTGATCGATAAATTGATAAAAATAGCGATAGCCATCAATGGAGACAAGGAGTGAAGGGCTCTAGACATTAGAATGAACCAAATCAAAAGGAGCAAGAACATCTTTATTAGAAATTGGATAAATGGTTTTACATTGTTTTGGTAATTGGCAAACCTCACCCCCAAAAAAAGACTGACTAAAAACAAACTGAAATAACTTTGGAAATAACTCTTTTTTTATGAGTAATAAACCATTCATTAAAAAATATTTTAAGATGGGTTTACAGCTGATTCAACATTTAGTTTTCCCAAGAGGTGCGAGATGCAGCCTCAAAAAACAATATAATTTACAGTGTAGCCCAGAATAATTGACCCCTATTCTCCCCTTGCTTAGCTAGTAGGTCTTCCAGCCTATTTCTCGATCTTCTCTCCCACTGAACTCTGACTGTTATATTAGAACTTAGCCATTTGAATCTTCTCAACGCCCCCCTGAAAGGCTAAACTTCCGTCTCCGGTTCTTTCAGCCATCCTATTACCACTCTTTTGCTAATTGAAAAGACAAGTGACCTAACCTAGCATGCCACAAATACACCCTAGCTACTAACTCATTGTTATCATTCTCAGTAAAACAAGATAAGTGCATGGCAGGCTAGAATCCTCATTGAAGGAGTAAAGGCCT